AAATGAAATGAAACAAATCAATAATTTTCAAATTATAATTTAGCCAATCAATTAAGTCGAGACTCAATGAAAATATAACTTAATGCATGGATTATTCCTGACACTAAAACGACATTGTTTGCAACTAAATTAGTTCAACCGCCATTACGATTCCTCACCGCTTCAAACCTTTTTCTGCTCACACTAAAACGACGTCGGTTGGAACTCAATTCTTTAAATAAGCTGAAAACGCCAACATCACTCTCTAACCGTTTCAAGCCCTTTTTTTTTCTCTCTCTTTCTCTGGTTAGTTTTTTTTTTCTGCATTTTTATCTCTCCGTGTTCTTCTTACTTTTCGTCGCTTTGCGTTCTTGTTTTGAATCGATTAGTTACTATTTGATTTTAGGAATTTTCACTATTTGATTCTATGATTTTCTGTCATTGTTGTTTGATTAATCACATTTTGGAAAATAGAATGCTTCTTAGGGTTTAAGCTTGTGTGAATCAAAAATGGTAGATTTGTGAGGACATAAAGTAATCTTTATTTTGTAGAAAAATTCAATGCATTATAAGTCATTGGTTTTCTATGATGCAGAGAAGATTACGTAGAATCCAATAATAAGTATCTACTTATAATAGTATATGAAACTATTATATATAGAGTTATTATATTGTAATTCATAATCATCCTAATCATCCAAGAGTTTGCTACAATTGTGTTTCTTCTTATTCCTACACTCAACTCTCAAGATTATGGTAAGTGTTTTTATCTCTCTTGTATCATTGTGTTTTCGTCACTTTGTGCTCTTACTTTATGTGTTCTTGTTTTGAATAGGTTAGTCACTATTTAATTTTACGATTTTTTCACTATTTGATTCTATGATTTTATGCATCATTAGCTTGATTAGTTACATTTTTAGAAATATAATGAGTTTTAGGGTTTAAGCTTTTGTGAATCTTAGTGATGATGTAGATTTGTAGTCTTAGGGTTTAAGTTTGTGTGAATCTTAGTGAGGATTGTTAATTTGTTTAGTTGATTTCTGTATTGCTAATTTAAACAGTTTAATCACCGGTTATTTGTTTGATTAATTTATAGTTTTCAAAAAAATTTAGGATCAAGATCAAAAGATGGATCAGATGGCGTGTAGTGCTTACGTAATTATGAGAGTGAAACATCTTCACCACTACAAGAAAATGTTTATCCAGCCACGTGATTTTGCCACGTGATTTTCATGTGGCTAAATAAAGCCAGTTGCGACGTGAAAATCACGTGGCAACGTGTTTTACTAATATAATAAAGAAGCATTAAGTGTGTCAGTTTTTTTTTGTGTTAAAAAAAGTTGCGACGTGGGATTCACGTCGCTAATTAAAATATCATAAAAAATAAATTAATCACAACTTCCAACACTGGCGTGTTCAGGTTTTGAAGAAAGGGAAAACAATTGTATGATTGTTGCGACGTGAAAATCATGTGGCAACGTTGCGGCGTGATTTTCACATCGCTACTTGCTTTATCTGCTTTATTAAAACGCTCCACAACACACAACAACGTTTCAGATTTTATTAAACTTCTTCTTCAACCTTCCATATTCCTCCATACCCATTTTCTTCTCCAAATTTTTTTCTTCTCTACACTTAAATTCTTACAATCTCCATACATTGGTTGTAAGGTAATTTCAATTCAATGTTATTTATACTTTGTTAACAGCTTTTGATGTGTTATTTGAATATAATTTTTTTTCAATTTTTCTTTGAATAGAGAAGAAGAATATATTGATAGAAGTATAGATTGCAAAAAGGGACAAGAAGATTGAAGGAGTTACAAGATAAAAGGTATGTCTTGAATTTTTTTTTTTGAAATTAGTATATTTTCTGAATTTGATTAATTTTTAGGTTATATATATTTTCTGAATTTCATGAATTTGCATTGGGTTAAAATTGTTGAATTTGGGTTATATATATTTTCTGTATTTGAGTTAAATTTTAGGTTTAATTATTTAGTTTATAATAATTATTAACTATTAATTTGTGATGAATGAGTTTAATTATTTTAGGAGTTTAAGTTTTTATATTTTTAGGAGTTTATAAATTTTTAGTGTTTAAATTAAATTTTTAGGAGTTTAATAAGTTTTTAAATTTTTAGGAGTTTATAAAATTTAGGTGTTTAAATTAAATTTTAAGTGTTTAAAAATAAATAAATATTTTTAGGAGTTTATAAATTTTAAGTGTTTAAATTAAATTTTTAGGAGTTTAAGTTTTTAAATTTTTAGGAGTTTATAAAATTTAGGTGTTTAAATTAAATTTTAAGTGTTTAAAAATAACTAAATATTTTTAGGAGTTTATAAATTTTAAGTGTTTAAATTAAATTTTTAGGAGTTTAATAAGTTTTTAAATTTTTAGGAGTTTATAAAATTTAGGTGTTTAAATTAAATTTTAATTGTTTAAAAATAAATAAATATTTTTAGGAGTTTATAAATATTTTTGAAAGCATATATTTATCTTTAATTGTATATGTTTATGATTATTATTAAGTTGATTAATTAATATTTCTAATTAAATAGGTTTTGATTATATAAATTTGCAGTAAATGGAATATTATATGTATTATCGTAGTTGGATGTACGAGATAGACTATATCCAGGAAGACGCGCACTTAAACCCAATTTTATAGACGGAGTTAATGGTTTTATCGTGTGGACGTTTGCCTAGGAACGTTGTCGAAGTGAAGGAGGAGTTAGGTGTCCTTGTCTTAAATGTGGATGTAGATATATAATTAGTGACCCAGAGGAAATAACACGTCATTTGCATAGGAAATGTTTCATTGAAAATTATTGGGTTTGGACGTATCATGGTGAAATACTGCCGAGTAATGTACTAGAGACTAGCAACACAGATGCTTCAAGTAGTCAACCGGTTATGCAACCACCTATGGAATTTGAAGAAAACTTTAATCTGATAGGTGACATGGTTGGTGATGCTTTTGGTGTTAACATGACCTATGATCAACCTGAAGACTTTGACGGGGAAGAGTTGCCGAATGAGGAAGCGCAGAGATTTTATCAGTTGTTGAATGAGATGAATACGCCATTGTTTGAGGGGTCGTCAGACTCAAAGCTATCAATGTGTGTTAGATTATTGGCCGCCAAGTCAAATTGGAATGTTCCTGATCAGTGTTTGGAGAACTTCGCAAAAATGATGTTGGACTCAACTGCAACGAAAGACAACTTGCCTGCGAGTTTCTATGATGCAAAGAAGTTGGTGTCGAAGTTGGGTTTAAGAGTAAGAAAGATTGATTGTTGCATTAATGGTTGTATGTTGTTTTATGACAACGAGTTTGGTACTCAAGATGGATCGTCAGAGGAATGTAAGTTTTGTCATAGTCCAAGATATAAAGTTTGCAATAGAGCCATTAACAGTAACCAAAAACGTGTAGCAGTAAAGTCCATGTTTTATCTTCCTATAATACCAACTTTAAAAGAATTTTTTCTTCAATGCACAGCGCAAGTCAAATGACATGACATCATACAAACAAAATAAGCCCAGGCAATATGCGACACCCATCTCACGACCATGCATGGAAGCACTTTGATGAGGTACATCCTGATTTTGCCGCCGAACCTAGAAATGTCAGGCTTGGATTATGCTCTGATGGTTTTGCTACATATGTCCAAGCGTCTGGAAGTGCGTATTCTTGTTGGCCATTTATTGTAACCCCTTACAATCTCCCTCCTGAGATGTGCATGACAAAACCATACATGTTTTTGACGTGCGTCATTCCAGGACCGTCGAGTCCAAAAACCGGAATTGATGTGTACTTACAACCTTTAATTGATGATTTGAAGAGGTTGTGAAATAATGGAGAATGGACTTATGATATATCCCGTAAACAAAACTTTTCTATGCCAGCTGCCTTGATGTGGACCATTAACGACTTTCCAGCATATGGCATGTTGTCTGGTTGGGGTACGCATGGCAGAATGGGTTGTTCGCATTGCATGGAATGCACTAAGGCGTTTACATTAGAAAAAGGGGGGAAAAGCTCGTGTTTTGATTGTCACCGCAGATTCCTACCATCAAATCATCCCTTTAGAAAAAACAAGACAAATTTCAAAAAGGACGAACGGGTAACAGATCTGCCTCCGCCTCGATTGGCACCAGTTGCTATATGGAACCAAGTTTGTGAACTTTCAAAGTTTACAGATACTGGCAAAGCATGTAGAATTGAAGGATATGGGGTCACACATAATTGGACAAAAAGAAGTATATTTTGGGACCTCCACTACAAGAAAATTGGCAGATTGCGACAGGTATTTTTGTAGATTACGACGGTTAAAACCGTCGCAATTTGCTTTCCACGACGGTTGCTTTACCGTCGCAGAAGTGTGTGTCCCCAACCTATTTCGCGACGGTTACAAAAACCGTCGTTCAAGTTTACGACGGGTTGATACCGTCGTGACTATCTTTTGAGTTTCTTTTAATTATTGGTGGCGACGGTTCGATACTGTCGTGAATATCTTTTGAAATTGATTAAATTGTTTATGGCGACGGTTCGATACTGTCATGACTTTTGTTGATTATTTTTAATTGTTGATTACGACGGTTCGGTACTGTCTCCATGACTTTTGTTTATGTCTTGATTTTTTTTTTCTATTATATATATTTTTTATTTAAATTATTATCTATGTAAAAAATTTTAAATATAGGTTTTTATTGTGTTATTTTTTTCTTTAAATTATTTCTTCTTTAATATATTTATTTATAGTATTATTTTTTGTTTTATTTTCTATCACTTTGTAATATAGTAAAAATAATTTCAATAAAAAATATTTAACATCAAATAAGCATTATAATATCCAAAAAAATGTGTGTTCCATAATCATGTAAAATGCGAGTTCCATAATCATGTCAAGTAGTACAAAAAACCCAAAATATATCAATTCCTAATCTTATAATAATAAGTATCATTATGCCAAAAATACATGAGAAAGTTCACAATCTAATTATCTCGATCATAGCAAAGTCTAATTTGTCCCCCCTGAAGTTCCATTATCTCCAATACGAAAGCTAGACTCAGATGAACGTCTACCATCAGTGGGTGATTCCAATCCCTAAAAAAAGGTATTAAAATAATTATTTTTAAAATAATACTCATAAAATTTAACTTTAAATGCGTCAAAATAATATACCTGTCTTCCACTAAAATTCTGCGTTTGCATTAAGAGTTCAATTTCCTTTGTCCTCGCCTTGTCCCTTTGCGTTAAGAATATGATTGCCTGTGTTAATTCATCAATTTTTGAATTCTTTTCTTTAAGTGCATTAATTTCTTCTTGCATTTCCTTTATTTGTTCACTTTCTGCAGAAGAAGATGTCGATCTCGTAGATCTATTAATTTGAGATGGTGTAACTCCAAGTCCCATACTACGAACATTCCATGCTTTTCTTTTCCAAATACTTTCTGAAATGCCTCATTTTCAGACACAGAATCCTTAATTGCAGCTTGTAAAAATAATTATCAGTAAAAATAATTAACAACTGAACCATGTGAATGCAAGTCAAGCCAAAGAGTGTAAACCTGTAGAGTTGCACACTGGAATTTCCTACTCAATGCATCAGATACACTGATATCTATCTTTGGTCCATAGAATGCACCATCCCCTTCATTCAACTGCAGAGTTTTATTTGGATTATAAGCACATAATTGAAGTTAACAAATGATGCATTACATTGAAAATAATAAAACAGATATACAAAAAATAAAAGAATGTATGAGAATATAAAAAATAGTATCAAGAAACATATAATTGAATTCAAAACATGAAAAGCATATACCTGCCATGGCTTGCCAAACTCATCCAAAGCCTCCTTGAGAGCACTTTCAGCCCTATCCCACGTTTCATCATCTCCAAGCTTATTCTCTGGCCTCTACTCAAGTATTTAACAGAGGCAAGGCAAAATAAATAACTGAGTCATTAAATAGATTAAACCAATTACTAACAGCAGAGTCTACCAAGCTTATCATGTACTACTATATCATGTATCAGAAGAAAAGAAAATAACAAGAAAGCTAGTTCTTTGTATTGAGGCCATATTCCCAATTATTAACTGTTCCTACTAATGTTATTTATTCACAAACTTCATCATATTTCAAACCATAGAGAAGTGTTCCTAGTAATGTTATTTATTAAACATATAAACAAAACATGTACCATAGGAAGAGAAAGACTGGTAAGATACGATCAAAATGATCTATATCAGATGACGCTCTTAGAAGGAATAATTGCAACAAAGAAACAAATAATGAAATTATCAAATCAGAATTAACTTACATTGCAGACAAAACATATAGCGGCAGTTGTTTCCAAACTATTAAACAGATTTATCAGCATCTCTTTTGGAAGCCTTTTTGCCATTTCAACAGAATCTTTTCCAACAGGATCAGAATTGTATTCTTTAACAAGAAATGGGTGATCACAAGCCTGACGGAGACGTAAAAGCATCAAAAGAATATTTGCATAGTTTTGATTCACTGTACGGCAGCTTGTATAGAGATCTCTGGAAGACTGATAAATCATCCATGTTCAATACCCCACTGTCAAAGCATAAAAAAAATGTAGTTCAGGCTACCTGTAGTACTGCAACCCGATTCTCCATGGAATGAGCATTGCTTCTCCAAACAACTTCTTGCTGACTTGTTGGCAAATGATGAACTCCCACTGGCATGAATTTCCTCATCAGAAAGTAATCCATGGTCATAGGTACAAGGCTCTCTCAAACTACAAGCTTTATCTAGCATTGCATGTCCCGGTTCAAGGTTGATCTTCTTCTGGCAGCCATCTTGTAGATCCAGAGACTGAAAGAGGAAAAAAGGGATTAAAAAGCCTGATTATAAGGAGGAAGTTACAATACATAAATACAATGGTGACACTAAATTGGAATTTATCTCTGACCTGTCTAGGAGTAGTAGGTGTATTTTGCAGAGTTCTACATTTATATGTTTCATCAGCATTAGTGTGAAAGCTCCAACCACGTAAATGTATAGAACGATGCAACTCATTCACAAATGAGGCCTCTAAAGAACTCAGATATAATTTATGCAGTTGATCTGTCCATCGTCTAGACTTGTCCTGGTACAAAATTTTGAATTAGGTATATCCTTGCCAACTAAATGAAATGAAAATAAAAGCTTCTAAATTCACAAGCAATCAAAAACAAGGTCCAAGGACGGACACAATTTATTAAGCAAAGACACGTGGAAGACAAGGTGTGTCTTTGCTGTGGCTGGTTGCTGCAGCTTGTAAGCCACCTCTCCAATTCTAGCTAGCCAGCAACATAAATGGACCATAATAACGTGGAGCGAACTTGGGACTGATGCGCACCTCTACTGACTGCTGAACACGCGGATGCAATTTCAGGAAAACCCAATCACGAACTTGAAACTACATCATTCCTGTGAGCATCAGCTAAAGGTTTCATTCTAACTTGAGCACGGTGCAAATGAAATTTCAACTGGCGTAAGCACTCATCAAGATCCATTAAATCCCTCCAATCAAAAATATGTAGGTTTTTTCAGTTCATACCGTTGAAAGTTTCAGTTCATATGTGAAACCAAATATTTGATAGACATAATCAATGAAGTCCAAGGCTTTTCTCACTTCATCTTTAACCTGCAAAATGAATTAATAGAATAATTTCAGCTTCAGCTTAAAAGATATCATAAAAATTATATTACATAAATTTACGTTAACACACCTGGGACTCCCTGCAGAAAATATGTGCATCATCCTGTCCAACACACAAAGTAAAGGGCATAAACAATACAGAACTAATAGTATAGAAAATAGAAGTTAAAGACAAGGTGATAATCAGTCAAAATAGCTTGCAATGTTCCTCCTATTGTAATTGTACCATACCTTTAGATAAATGAAGAATATCATCATGAGAAGAGAAAATTTGATAATTTATCTACACTAACTCACATCCACATAGGGAATATAAGAGTGGCTTCGCTTGGTGGTAGGGTGGAGGAGATAAGGACGGGAGTGAAAAGGAGGTTGGAGGTCCGATCCCCATCCAAACATAAAACTAACATTTTTTGTTTTAAAAAATACTACCATTCACACCATAAATACAACCCCACAATTGGGGTGCTCCAATATTTACAATAGAAGCAACTATAAATGTAATCAAGATAAAACAAAGAAAACTGGTCCCTTCCACAGTTCCAACAAAGATTTACCTGCTGAAATCTCCTAACACGTGTTAATCCACTTAGGGCACCACTGGCCTCATTTCGATGCAAAACCCCAAAATCAGCAAAATGAAGAGGAAGTTCTGCAAAACCATAACAGTGTTGTGAGATGATATTTTATACAAAAAACATCAGCTCTACCTAAAAATATCCAAACAAAAATGGAAACTAAATTATCTCTACCTCCCATCGCACCAAAATTATAATTTTAAGTCTATTTCCAGTTCAATTTTTGGACATGATTGAAAAATTCTTGCTCTTTATCCCAAAATGATTCTATATGGAAGAATACAGCTTATTAGTAAACCAATTCCTTGAGCTATATGTGAATATGTAAGTAAGAGGGAAGATGAGACCATGTAAAATAACACTGGACAGGTATTACTCAATTTAGGCATATTCAAATGAAAATGTTAATCCATTAACCAAGTAGCTCAAACAGATGCATTATCCTGATTTCAACAATATATTCTGGACTAGCTCAGCCACCATAAGTATAGAAATAAAAGATGTTATTTAAAAACATATGTTTATGCAAATGAAAATTACCTCTATATGAACGAACTCTGTGTTTAAACATCAAGCAGTGTCCTGGGCAATTCATTGGTTTCAATCCAAATTCTTGTTTGTCAACCTAAAACACACAATATTTATAATTTGGATAGATAAATTAATTGTGTTCAAAATAATCAACCTATTATGAAGGTTTTGTAGAAAAATTCTTCAAAAAAAATTATCATACTAATACTTCTCCATTTCGCTCTTAAAAACTATCTACAAACAGCGACATATTTAATCTAATAATCAAATCAAACCTTAAAACAACAAATTAGAAAACCTAAAAAATCATAAAAAGAAATAAAACCCTAAAACAACAAATTAGAAAACCTAACATCAATTCAATATATTCAAACTCAAAATCAATCATCACAAAGAGCTCAACCATAAAATTACCTGGAAAACACCCTTATCAACCTTGCATTTTAAAATGCCATTGACCTTTAAGGCATAGAACAAATCCTTGAGAGAGGACGACGACCCGAGATTTTCCACTACCTTCCGACAAGTGGTTATGCTCACATTAGGCTTATTCTCAAGCGCAAGAAACTCAAATACTCTTAGAGCATCACAGGCTTCTTCTAAACTGATAAGATAACAAGAACAAAAATGAATTTTCCTACTCAGCCATCTAACATATAATTTCAACATACTACTGCAAACCTAAAATATTAATTGACAACAAAACTTATCTAAATAACTAGTGTTTGATAACAATTGAACATGATATAATTAATTAATATTTGATTAATTAAGGGTTGAATCGACCTTGAAGAGGAACCATCGAAGAGTTGTAAAGCAGCGGAACAGTGAGAATCGGAAATCGGACTTGGATTCGTGACGGCGTTGCAGATCGAAATAGTGAAAAACAGTATGAGAAATTTGGCTAGGTTTATGGCCATTTCTGCAGCTATGAATCTATGAATGCAAATCGCATTTACGATAGGTTAGGGATTTGAGAAATGAGATCGAGAATTACGAGATACGCGAAGAAACGACTTGTGCGAGTGAGTCTGTGTGTTTTTGGTGCAACTGAACTAGTATCATCACTGGCTCTTGATCATCTAGCCATCTTTTCAAACAACGAATCGCCGCCAGTCGCTGCCGTCACGGTGCTTCCGGATTCTCTGAACGCAGGAGTAGAAAGTGAATTGATGTTTTAAGAGCTTTTTAACTTTATTACGGCGACGGGTGTTTTACCGTCGTGCCCATGAGAATTTTTAAAGGTTTTGGGTGCGACGGTTGTTTTACCGTCGTGAAATGAATTTTAGGACGGATAATTTTACCGTCGTGAAAGGTTTAAGGGTGCGACGGGTGCTTTACCGTCGTGATATGCCTTTTAGGACGGTTAATTTTACCGTCGTGACTAGTTGTTGGTGAAAAATCAATGTTAAAAGTGTTAAATGGGGGCCGACGGTTGTTTTACCGTCGTAATAATAATATTATGATGGTTAAATATACCGTCGCAAAATAAATATTAGGGACGGTTGGTGTCAACTGTCGTAAACACTGTCTCTATATGTCAATTACGACAGTTATCACATAACAGTCACAATTTTTGTGTCGTTAAACACTAATTTTCTTGTAGTGCTCCCGTATTGGAAAGATAATTTGTTGCGCCATAATCTTGATGTTATGCATATTGAGAAAAAAAATTTGATAACGTATTTAACACAATGATGGATGTTAAAGACAGAACAAAAGATAATGTGAAGGCTAGACAAGACATGGAAATTTGGTGTAATCGTAAAGAGTTGGAATTGAAGCCTCTCCCAAATGGAAAATTATTTAAACCCAAAGATTGTTTCAGTCTGACCCCCCAAGAAGCTAAAGCGGTTTATGGATGGCTAAAAGGTTTGAGAATGCCCGACGGGTATTCTTCAAATTTAGCAAGGTGTGCTGATGCTAACACTGGGAAGTTGCATGGTATGAAAAGTCATGATTGCCATGTTTTTATGGAACAATTGCTACCAATTGCGTTCGGTTCTCTACCCAAACATGTGCTTAATCCACTCACTGAAATTAGTCAATTTTTTAGAGATATTTGTGTGTCAGCTTTAAGAGTGGATGACATCATTAAGTTGGACCAAAATATTCCAGTCATTCTCTGTAAGTTGGAACAAGTATTTCCGCCTGGTTTTTTTGACTCCATGGAACATCTACCTGTGCATCTTGCATATGAGGCTTATCTAGGAGGACCTGTTCAATATAGGTGGATGTATCCGTTTGAAAGGTTCATGGGTGATTCAAAGCGATCAGTGAAAAATAAAGCTAGAGTTGAAGGATCAATATGTGCACATTACTTGCATCGAGAAACTTCACATTTTTGCAGTCACTATTTCAAGCACTTGATGTTAACTCCAAGAATCATAAGGAATCCTGTAAATGTTATCGAAAGAAGTCAGTACACCTTATCAGTCTTCGGGCTTCCAGGTCGTCCCTCTGGAAAGAAGGGTGAGCATTGGTTGACCCAACAAGAAATGCAATCTGCACATGTTCATATCTTGATCAACTGTATTGAAGTTAAACCATATCTTGAGTAAGTATAATCCAACTTCTTAATTTTCTTTACAGTGTGAATATAAAATTGATTACCTTGAAACTTATAGTGTGTTTCTTTTTAGGGAATTTAACAACGCCTATTTTGATAGTACCGGTGTACAATCAACATCTGGTGTCATTCATGCCCAATTTACAACATGGTTCAAGGAGAAATTGTATAGGGTTGTTGCACCGACTCCAGAAATACTCCATTTGAGAAACTTGTCTAATGGCCCTCGTCAAAGTGCAAACAAATGGCACACATACTTCGTGAACGGATATAAATTTCACACTCATGAATGGACTGAAGGGAAAAAACCACAAATAGTGGCGTATTTGTGAAAGGAGTTACAGATGGTGGTGAAGATGACTTCTATGGTTTTGTTAAACATATCTACGAGTTAGTATACAATTACTTGGACTCAGAAAATAAAGTTGTCTTGTTTTATTGTGAATGGTATGATCCAACTAGAGGCACAAAAATAGATAAGACATATGATACTGTTGAGATTCAAATAGACCGGAGGTACAAAGAGTACGACCCTTTCATAATGTCAAATATTGTTAGGCAAGTTTATTATGTTCCTTATCCTTCATTTGTGCCACGTAAACGACGGTGTTGTGTTGTAATAAAAACAAAACCATTGGGTCATATTGAAACTGACGGTCTAGTGGAGGATGTTGCTTACCAAGTTGATGAAGTTGAAGTTAATGATGTGATTCCAGATGAACACACTACAAGTTTGTCTGATACAATGGTTGGAGGGAATCAAGTTGATGAGGATGAAGATCATGAAGATTCTGGATTTGAGGATAGTATCACATCAGATGACGATGATGAAATGGATGACGAGCATGACGATTTAGAATAGTGAACCTATATTCATGATAATTGTGTCTTGTAATTTTACTTAACGAATCATTTATTGAATGATTTAATGAATATGTATTCATGAGAATTGTGTCTTGTAATTTTACTCAACGAACCATTTATTGAATGATTTAATGAATATGTATTCATGAGAATATGTATATGTTAACTTGTATTTTCTTTAATTAGGTAAAAATGCCACCCAAAGATAATAAGGGTAAAGGTCCTAGTGATAGTGGTAGGAAGCCCAGGCGTCCAAGGGTAGTAGTATGCCAGTCACCTCACTCAGCCACGTGTCCTCCCCCGCAGAGTCAGGTTCATCATATGTCCATGGAAAGTACTATGCCATTTACTCCATTACTATCATCTCAGAGTCCTCTTCAGTTCCCATCTGGGAGTACATGTTTTATTAGTCCATCTGGGGCCCCACCTGGTTTACCATTCCAGCAGACACAGGTGCCCTCATCCTTCCAGCAGACACAGGTGCCCTCATCCTTCCAGCAGACACAGGTGCCCTCATCCTTCCAGCACAGTTTTCCATCTCCCACACAGATGCCCTCATTCGTGCAGCAGTCTGGAGGATCCAGCACCCCACTTCCTACACAGATGCCCCCATCCGTCCAGCAGCCTGGAGGATCCACCTCTTCACGACCCACACAGACTGGTCGCACCCCCACATCCCACACAGAGTCGGATGATGACGATCTTGGTGTGGATGATGATCAGATAGATGGGAGAGATCTTCGAGGGGATGACGATCCGAGTGAATTGATGGGAGATTTTGGATATGGCCTGAAGGGAACTCGTAAGTTTCTTATTTATTGATTTTTATTTATAAGTACACATTTCCATTTTTAATATAACTTTATATAATTAATTATGCTAATTCAATTATTATTGTTTTAGTTTCGGGCCGAGTCAGACTGCTGCTAAGGTTATCAATTATATAATTCAGCAGAATTATACAATTTTTTTGAAGAGTTTTAGTGAAGTTTTCGATAAAGAAGAATGGTTCAAGCAATTTCAGGTATAATTAATTTATTTCTAAGTTATTTTTATTTAAATGACCTTTTCATTATTGTTATAATTTATCTAACTATTTATTTTAATGTCATACAACATTGCAGGCGAAATATGTTTGGGATCCCCTGAATCATAACAAAGTAAAAAAAAATTATTTTGGCAGGAGTTCAAGACGACTATCTGACATGCTACGACGTGTTAGAGAGAATTGGCACCTTTTGGACATTCGTCCCAAATGGATAGGCAAAGAAGTTTTTGAACAACTTCTTAAGTATTGGGAATCAGATGAATTTAAGGCTAAATCTGAAACTGCAAAGAAGATGAGGGCATCGGAAAAAGGGGGTTGCCTTAATGCTGTTGGAAGTATTAGTACTGCTGAGCATGCTCGACGCATGGTAATTATTACCACTTTTTAAGGTCATATTTGGATTTATAACATATTATTAATTTAAGTTAATTTTTTTATTTAGGCTAAGCGTTTGGGGAGACAACCATTGATGACTGAGCTGGTTAAGAAAACTCGGACAAAGAAATCGGGAGGATTTATTGACGAGCGCACAAAAAAGCCCTGGTAAGTAAATTTATGTTTATATGTTTTTTTAAGCAATTTTGTGACGTGATTTTCATGTAGCAAGTGACATGTTGTGGCGTGAAAATTGAGTGACAACTGATAAGTTGTGGCGTTACAATCACGTGGCTATTTGTTTTTTATTTTTATTTCATTTCATTTAATTTCATTAATGTTACTTATAAATTTAACTTGATTTTTTTATTGTATGTGTAGGAGGATTATCAGGCGTTGCTTGTAGAATTTCTGACCCATAATCCTCAGTATACGCCTCCTCCAGGAAAACCGGTTCATCCAGATGTGGATTTCTATATTTGGAGTCAAATTGTTGGGGGGAAAGGGGCCTAACGGGTGTTTTTTTGGTGGTGGAAATTTGGCGGGCACCTTGAGGAGTGGGGATATAAATCTGTATCAGAGAGCTGCAGACGGTGAAGAAGGGTCACGTCAAACAAATTTGACACCAGATCAGTTAGAACTGGTAAGACAATTGGCTAGACGCGAGTCCGAAGATCGTGAGGCGGAATTGAAGGCCCAAATGGATGCCCAAATGGAGGCAATGAGGGGTGAACATAATAGACAAATTGAGGCAATGGCGAAGAGGCAGACTGATATGGAGGAGCAAATGCGACAATTTATGCAAGCATTTGGTAGAAATCCCAACAGTGGTGGCCAAAATAATAACCACCAAAATAATGATGACTTTCTTCCCGACTTTTCCGACGACTCTAATGATTCTGCTTAGTTTTATTTTTATTTTGTATTTAGTTTTTTATTTGTGTAATATAAATTTATAATCATATTGTATATTTAAAAATATTATAAATTTAAATTTGAGTTTACTAAATTTATAATATTAAGTATATTTATTTATACATTTAGATATATTTAGTTTTGTTTTT